GGCGGGGCCTGTCTCCAGAGCTGCCTTTGAGTAGCTTCGAACCATCAGCCCTCCTTGCTGGTAGCTGAACACTAGTTGTGCCACTGAGCTACGTTAAGGGTGAGATAATGCACTGAAACCCACTGACAGCTGTAAATTAGCTGCTGGTCCCTCCACCCTGATGTGGGATTTAGAATACGTCCATCAGAGTTCTCAGGCACGCTGCCAAATTGGCAACCGCCCCCCTGGCCTGATGGGCTCTGAGGGTCTGAGTAATAAATGCATTGATAGCAACTGCGGACATTTATTAGTGGAGATGAAGACTGAAGGAGTGGGTGTCCCTGCACCCCAGCAGGGGTGAGGGAGATAAAAGGTGGAGCAGGAGCAATCTGATTTAGGGGGTCAGTCAGATAAGAGACTGTTAGAGTGATTAATTGTCCATTTCAGCACACAAACAAGGACTCTTAAGTGGAGACAGGATTTGCCACATGATACAGATCTGCTTTCTCTGCCAGGTGTTTCCATCATGAAGCCATTGAAACAGACAGGCCAGGTCCCAGAGCCCAGCAGTTGCCAGGCCACATCCTTAACTGGTTTTGGCACTAAAGAAAGCAAATGGGATAATTCAAGGCCTGTTCTATCCTCCTCCCTGCCACCACCACCCTTTTTTTTTTGGTTTAAAATTAGTTTCTGTAAAAGATGGCATTTAATAAGCTTATTCTATTCAAGCAAGTGCATGGCTTATGCTTTTATAAATACACTTGTTGTTTCAGTGGCCAATCGTTTTATGTAAGACCTGGCTCCCTTGGTAAAAACAAAATGAGAATAAGTCACCTGGCATTATCACCGTGATTTTGCCGCTCTGTGTAGTGTCTGGGCAGCCCGACAGCAGACAGCTGAGCCTGGTGCTCGGCTTTCTGGCTCACTTCACAAACCCCATCTTGCACTCTCTTTCCCGATTGGGAAATATATTTCCATGTAAGGATGCCCGATTGCAAACCTCTGGGGCAGACCAGGCAAGCTGTGCTGTGGTTACTGGGCTTCCCCTTCCATTGAGTGATGTTTTTTTTTTAAGACGTTTTATTAGGGGCTCATACAACTCTTATC